AAGTTTACTCCTCACCCATGCAAGGGTTCCAAAAGCCTAAGCTTTTCTTTCTTTTCAATTCTGAAAAACCACATGCAATGACCACTTAAGGGCCCCTAGCACCTCCTAGAACCTCTTAAATAATGTTTATTTAATTGTTCAAGGATAGTAGATGTCCATACGAAGAATAAAATCATCCAAAAGTCAAACAAATCAAAAATTTGTAACGACAGTTTTACCCGTCAACAGTACCATTAAACAATACTCATGAATAGTAACCTTTACATAATAAATATGAAATTATAAAAGAAACCTTAGAATCCAAAATAACTTAAAAGCCCTAAAAATAAACCATAAAACTAAAATTAAAAAACAAATCCTTTGAAATTGAATAGAAATTAAAAATAATAATGGTTTTATTCTCTATCATTCTCCCCTAGTTGGAAAAAACTCATCCTCGAGTTTTGAAGTAAGTTTAATGAATTTCATTAGTTCCACAATCAATCTACAAGCCGCTAGTATTGAATGCAATCTACATGAAAATCAAGAACGTCTTTCAAATCAAGAACCCTAGAGTGACGTTCCCCATATCTAGGTCTTCTATCACTTTCCTCTCTACTCGATTCTTCATCCCGAGCACGGAGGTGAAAAGGGTTGTACTTGACATCTTCTTGGGCGGAAAGATCACCATCTTGCCCATGAATAATGCTTGCAAACTGTTAAGGTAGCTCTTGAACGTGCCGTTCAGGTTTCTCAATTTCTTCATCTTTAAGATTACGAAGTAGGTTTACGAAAGTTCCCCTTCCACGGGCTCTTCTCGCTTCCATATGTTTACCGAACTCTAGGCAGAGAATCAACAAAAACTTCATTGAAATCAACAATATCTAGGCTGATTTGGTAAAATTGGGCCCAATATCAGCAAACCCTAGACTTGGCTTTAATTTTCTAGCCTTGTTGTTGAAGAAACCCTAAGCTTTGATACCAAATTGATGTAAGAGAAATTTGAATAACAGCAAAAGAGCAAAGTTTTTTAGCCAAACACATGCAAAATTTAGAAAAACAATAAAGTTTACTCACCCAAGCTAGGGTTCCAAAAGCCTAAGATTTTCTTTATTTTTAATTCTAAATAAACACGTGGAATGACCAATCAAGCTCCCCACGCACCTCTTAAACAATGTTTATTTAATTGTTCAAGGAGATTAGATGTCTGTACAAAGAATAAAATCAATCAAAAGTCCTAAACTAATCTCAAATTTGTAATGACAGTTTTACTCCGTGAACAGTACCCAGTGAATAGTACTCATGAACCCTAAAACTAAAATCAAAATATGCATTATTTAAAATTGAATAACAATTAAACATAAGAATAATTTTCCCTCCATCACAAAGACTTGATATTTTCCTTTTTATTGTAACTCAAGTGTATATATAAGCATTCCCCAACCCTATTCCCATACATTATGCAAATTAAAAAACTACTATATCGGGAAACTCCCCAAATCTTATTCAAATATTCAAGTTAGATAAGTAACTACCAGATAGCCAATCTATTTATTCTAGCTAAGCTAATCCCTTTATTCTAGACTATGGTTTCCTAACAAAAATTTTCTACCATTGTGTCTAATTTAGTTTTTTCTTTTGTAGCCACACAAGGTGCTGGTTTTGAATCCCACAATACAAATTAGGTCATCTAAATGCTCAAATAACGTCTTCCTCTCCTTTGCTTACATAGCTCCAACAACCTTACAACATTTGTACCATAAACAACCTAATCTCGATGAATGTAAACAAAGCCTTGAAATCACATAGATGTAGCCATTGTTTTTTCCATTTTATCGAGAAAGCCTTACAAAAATTTCCCAAAACGACATAATTTACAGGTTGATTTCTACACAATACGAAACATCAATTTCGCTTATGCAAAGGTCAAAGAGAGGATAGACTTTGTCCTTGAAGTATGGCGCTTGCTAGGGTAACCTAGTTGTGTTTGAAAATCCATCTATGGCTGCAAATGACTCCACTTAGCACACTGATAACCCTAGATGAATCGAGGAAGAGAGGCTCGTTCGAAGGAGCCCTTTCTTTTGAAACCTAGATCACCCATGCCATTACTTTCTCATCTTTTTATTTTCCTACTTTTTAGTTGGAAAGGGGAAAATACTTTCTTGGATAGGATCAAAAATGTTTAGGGGCATTTTTGATATTGAAAGAAAAAATAGTTTCATGAATGGGAGAAGAAAACAGGATAAAATTGGAAATATTAAAATGCAAAATCAATCTCAAGATTTGCTTTAATCCAACTGTTGAGATCTAAAATCATGCCAACACTCTGCATCTAAAATACAACTGATCATTCCCCAATTTCAAAAATAAGATCGATGTCCTGCACCAAACTCCTCTAATTGAAGAAAACATGTTCTCGAGTTTTGGTGCATGCCAAGATGAATCTTTCGCTTAAATCATTGTCTTCTTTAACTCAAACAATGTGCCTTGATTCTAGGACCTGTGAGATATAGGCCAAATATAAATAGAGTGGTTTGCATTGAAACTGCGACTTTGTAATAAGCTGATTAGCTGACAAACACAAACAGTTTTGAGGACACCTTGAGAAAGGGTAATTACAATGTGGATGGATTAATTGTGATAAATACAATTGATTCAGCGACACAAACATGTTGGAATTACCTCATTTCAGTAACATAAACCACTGAAACTGCATCAGTCCAACTCCAGCCACACAACCTTGCAAGGATTGTCTTGGTTCAGCCCTATAACAAACCAAACCAGCAATTTCATTATCGAACGCTATATTTTTTGCCCACAGCTTTTGTGATAAATAGAGACACTAGGGTTTCCTAGCTCATCTTGCTATCAATCTCTCCTTTACCATCCACGAGAGAAAGCGTCCCAATTTCCTCAACTTTTTCCAATGGTTCCTCATCAAAAATTAGTTCACGTACAAGATCTTGTTTTTCAACATAGATCATACCAACTACGGGATCAAATGAGAATTATTTAAGCTGAAAATCAGAGGACATACTGGCAATCAAAGTTTCCTCATGTGGCTCTATGTCGAAGATAAGATCATTTTTTTCATCCTCATCAAAGATAGATTTAAACAAGCATCAGTCATGAAAAAGATCATTCCTCCCCTTGTTGTGAAGAAGAGCTTCATCCATTTGTGGTAATGGAAAGAATTCTCATCCACGAATCCATATGATTCAGATATAAACGTCAGTCAGCGTGAGTTGGATGCACCTTGTGCATTAGATCCTTGAACCTCCTTCTATTTGAAGGTTTTTGACATATTTCACATGTCAGATCCTCAGTTCTGCTTTTCAAATCATTGAATTATTCCCCATGTAACTTTGTCAACATTACGGCCACAAAACTCAAAACTTCTCCAGCAGTCATCGCACAAACTTGCAAATGGTCTCTCGGGGTCTTTGGGAATGGGCCTCTGATTCTAATAAATGCAGTGGGGAATTTACATAAAGTAATCAAAAACTAAAATTCGATTGAAAATAATAGTGGAAGCTTACAAGCCCAGCATTATGGCTCTCTAGTTTACTCAGAACTCTTAAAATAAATAGTCTTCAACTTTGAAAGGAAAACCCCAATACAACCCTTATTTATAGGAAAAGACCCTACTAAGAAGTCCTAATTCTCATTGAAATAGAAGTCTTAATTATAACAAATTTAATATAAAAATATTTACCACTGATAAAATAACTAGTACTTGAAGGACTCTTAACTACTTTTCCAAACAGCCCTCAAAATACTAACACTAAAAAACCTTAAAACCTGGAAAACAAAATGAAAAACACTAAAAATAACGACCAAAAATTCCAAGAAATACATCCATAAAAGAAAAATTCAAAAATAAGAGGCTTCTTGTTCTGCCTTAGAAACACTATCTGACCAATTAGGAAAAAGATAAAAGAGAGTTCAGATGCACTATGACGAGTCCTATATGTAAATCTATGCATCACTTTTGATTCAAGCCCGAAGCATTTTACTAATTAAGAATCAATCATTTTTCCTGTTTTTCCAAAAGAGTAAGTGCACTAAAAGAGAGTTCAAATGCATTATGATGAGTCCTATTTGTAAATCCATGCATGATTTTGATTCAAGCCCAAAGCATTTTACTCTTTTTTTGCAAAAGAGTTAGTGCACTACTTTTTTTTTGAAACTATCAGTTAATACACAACTTCATAAAGCCGTACACATTTTATTTAGTAAATCTAATCCACAACAACAATGGAAAGAACTAAAATTTTTACTTCTTTGCTCATAAGATCAGCGAATCAATTCAGCAGTCATTCGGCTTGCACGTACATGATTGATGTTGAGCTATGATATGTGGATGCAACCATTGATAAAATTACTGGATCAAGCCACTGTAGTTTCACATTATTCTTGCCAACAAACATGGATATAGCATCCCCTCACAAGCATCCAAGCAGTCTTAGCTATGTATTTGCCCAAAGAGTGTGTTATTACTCTCTCTCTCTCTCTC